ATGGAAGGTAAAGGTAAGGAGTTAGCGATTGGACCGTCTTTGAGCAATGAATCAAGTGTGGTAGATAGTCACAGCTATTACCTAGCTCGTCGAACCACCATGGAGATGCTTCGGGACAGAGGATACGAAGTCTCCGAAGAAGATATTAACCTCTCTTTACCAGAATTCCGAGCGATCTACGGCGAACGTCTCGACGTAGATCGACTACGTATCTCTGCTCAACATCGCTCTGATTCTTCGAAAAAGGTAATTAATGGATTTCGGTTTCTTGCGGTTTCTTTCTTTGCATGTTGAATTTTCTGGTTCCTCTGTTTTCTTGAAACAGTAAAGTTGTCTTTTTGGCAAAAAAGTATTTACATATGGAATGTGTGATTATAGATTTCTAACAAGAATGATGAAATGTAGTACTTGGTTTAGTAATTGCTAAAGAATTTTTTAGCGAGGTTGTTTCTTTGAATGTCTTCATGTTTTGTTTGTTTTTTGTCACTGCATTGACGAGCATAGAGCGAGTTCTCTGATTTTGAATTTCAGATTGTGGTTGTGTTTTGTGGAAGTGGTATGGTTAAAGTCAATGCGATGCGCGTTATTGCAGCGGATGTACTTAGCCGAGAAAGTATAACCGGATTGATATTGGTTATGGAAAGTCATTTAACAAATCAAGCTCTAAAAGCCGTTGAACTTTTCTCGTTCAAGGTCGAGTTATTCCAGGTCTATATCTATCTTTATCTTGAATACCTTGTTAGATTAATGAGTCGTTTCGACTTAATTCTCGGTAGGTTCATAACATCTTTGTTGTTGCAATGTTGTGTTGTTAGATAACCGATTTACTGGTTAACATAACCAAACATGTCTTGAGGCCAAAACATCGGGTTTTGAATGATAAAGAGAAGAAATCACTTCTCAAGAAATTCAGTATCGAGGAGAAACAAGTAAGCTAAGTTTTTGTAATTACACCATTGCTAGGAACTCTGAGCTAACTTCAGTTGAAACGTTTTATGTGTTTATTATGTTTTCCTTTTGTTAGCTGCCCCGATTATCGAAGAACGACCCGACTGTGCGATACTACGGATTAGAGAAAGGACAAGTCGTGAAGGTCACGTACAAGGGCGAGCTCACCGAGTCGCATGTTACATACCGATGCGTTTGCTAATCTCGTTTTGTTTACATTTTTATCATGTATCATGTCTTGATGTCAAAAACTTGTAAACTTTGTGTTACTTTTGTGGTCCCTAAACACGTTTGATAATTATAAGTTTGTGGTTTCATATAAGATATACACAAACTATACATAAGAAGAATATAAGAAGGCTTGGTCAACTATGGACGATAGTCGAATCTGGCTGATTCTTGTTTGACCCATGTGTTGACTTTCTCGGCTTCACGACCAAGTCTTTGCTCCTCTAATCTTGCTGCCTTAAGCTGATGCTCTTGCTCCTTCACGGAGAAGGTGGTTATGTCCGATAGAAACTTGTCGTCGCCGGTTTGCCAGCTCCGGTCACCGGTGTTGCCTTTCGTACTTCGTGTGGTATCTGGATCGCGAGAGCAGCATAAGCTTGAGCCCATGTGGATCAAACTAAGATCTTTGATGGAAAAAATTAAGGAGATGGGAAGAAAAAAGAAATTTTTGTTGAAGATGAAAATTCAAGAACAAATGAGAAAAAGAAGGTTGGTTTAGAGTTGGACCAGAATGTGTAGTTGCTGAAAATTGAGTGGTTTGAAACAAATTTTCAACAATTTGCATCTTTTTATATAAAGGTATAGTTGAGTATGACATCAATAATAAAACAAAACAAATTTTAAGAATCTAGGTCATTTTAAAATTTTAATTAGATAAAAATGGATTTCAAATTTTTTTATGCTGAAATTGTAAGTAGAAAAATCAATAACACTATTTTAAATCTTTTTGATAGACATATCGTAAATATATTAGAAACTTTATAAATTGTGAATTTTTTTTTAT